TTCTTTTTTTTATTCTTTCTACTCTCTGCATTATCTTTCATCATAAATTCGAAAAGTGAGGATTAAATCAGCAAAACGAGCCAAAGTGGATTATTTTATGCAAACTAGAGATTATTTGCGCCCCGAGAGAAATGGCGCGATTTCGGCGACAGTTTTGGCTCCAGGCGAGGAAATCTCCGAGGTTATTACAGTATTTATATTCACTTCGCGCCATTTGATTCTGTTTTCCCCTTTGCCTCATTTGAATAGTAATAAGATGGAAGAAGAAGAAGCAGAAGAAGGAAAATAGAATGAAAAAAAAAACGGGCGCAGAACGTTTCACCACTCTTTTTTCACTTTCTATAATCACAATTTGTATTTCTGCAGTGATTACTTCGAGGGACGTTTTTTGCAGATGTAAAGCAACTTGTTGCAAAATTAGAAGATGGTGATATTTTCTTGTTAAGCAGTTTTAGCGCCTAATTCTAGCCTTGTTTGTTTTTCTATCGCTTGTCCTTTTCCATTATTTAAAGACGAAATATAAACATTGTTGACTGGAAAGAAAATGCAGTCTGATTATGGATTTTTCTACTGTAATGACGAAATTATTATTCTGATAGAAGAATGCCAAAGCACCCGAACGATGTAATTAACATTTCTTTGATTTAAATTCAGCTTAGAATTAATTAAGTCATATAATTAACTAATATACTTTTCAAAACTTAATACTTTTCCATCAATTAACTCTAAAAGACTTTTTTCTGCTTCTAACTTAAAAAAATTCAATATTTATTCAATGTAATATTTAAGAAAACTTATTACCACAGACATAGGCTTGGTTCAGATCCCGAAAAAGGCACGGACATTTGTGGCTGTCTAGAGACTATTTGATATTTTGGACCAGGAAACATGAAAAATCAATTCTACCTAGCCGTGATTCGAAACAAGAATCTTCCAATTTACTACCTAAACTTGGTAACCACTTTCTCTCATGCACGACAGCATGCATGGGAGAAATGAGATAATTTTTAAAACTGTAGGTTCTTCTAAAATGGAGAACTTAAAATGTATCGTTACGAAAGCTAAACTCGGAAGAGACCACATGGTCCCCACAGATGCTTAAAGCCTAGCATCAGTGAAAGCTTACGAGATGAGCATTATTGCATACGCAGGAGTGTTTGATAATCCTCAGCAAGGGAAGTTGGAAAGTTTTCTTAATATAAAATGTTAAATATTATTGCATTGTTCTCAAGCATTACCTCAATTAAAAGGAATGGACTGGATTTTGGATTATTGGGATCCTGTTGCAGCACACTAGGATTGTTTGCTTAAGAGGAGAAATGCTTGTTTAAGGAAACTGGCTAGTTTTCAGTTTGCAGGTGAAATAACGACGAAAACTCTCATGCAACCAGTCTGTCTGCCGGAATAGGAACCCGAGTCAAATTACCAGTATTCAGAGGTTTTATCATTAATCCACTATTGAGCCTTGAATTGATAAGATGTTTAATTATAAACTGTTTTGAAAATGCCATATCTTAGTTTCTTGTGCTGATAAGGCACTCGTTAGTGATATATATACAACATTTGTTTTGCTTTCTGACAAGGTATGGTCCGATTCCAGCTCATTTGGAAAAGTTTGACCATTTAGGAGATGCGAATGGTTTGGATAATTTTACATTTAGTTTGGTTCCTCTCTCCGAAGGAGGAGCAGATTTTGTGAGCACTTGTTTGCGCAACGGGCTCAAAGAACTCCGTTCTATGCAGTAAAATGTCTTTGCGGAAAATATTGTGGCACAGCAAGTACTGTATAAGAATACCCAACATATGATTTACATTTGTATTTTTAAAATGTTGTGTTACGCTATATTTTTTATAACCCACAATCTTAAATTGACACTTTGAGGAAAGGTTTTGCATGCATGCATTTTGAAGGCTTACTGAATACTATAACTCTGCCATTCCACACCTCTGCCTGTCCCAGTGATTTTAGTCTGTTACTTTAGAATAGATACTTCAAGGACATTTCTCCCACTGACATACCATGATTCATAACCAAGGCAATGCTACTGCGGGCAAAAAGTCGAATCCTCTAATTTACTAATATCCCAAAATTCCTTGTTTGCAATGGTGACGACACACGTTACGATTACAAATGAGGAAAGGGTTGCTATGACTTCAAAGTGCTTGTTTTAAAACAACAGGCTATAATACTCGTATATTACAGTTCCTTACGGTTAGCAAACATTTAGGAAACGCTTCGACTATTATAGATGTTTGATAGTTTGATGTTTGATGTTCATTAACATCATTATTATTAATAATGATGATAATGAAGGTATTTGATATTATGATTAATGAATCACCATTGCTATACTCCGCTACTTTGTAATAGGAATTTCAAGGTAATGTTCCGCCACTCGACTTGCCTTGTAACCTCAAGAAAGGCATCTACAGAAGACAATTTGACTTGCCTATTCTTTTTCTTCCACTTCATTTCCGTTAGGGTGTTTCCCTTCATGAAAAGCGTACGAATGAACACGATCTCAAATGAGGCGGTGATGACGACAAGTGTTACGATCCCACATGGGGAGGGGTCGGAACCGGTGCCTATTTTCAAGCAATAAACTATAGCAGATTCACTGCAATTGAAATGATAAACGAACTTGTTGATTTACTACAGTAAAACTTTTTTCTGCTTATATACCTTAAATTCAATTGCCTTAAAAAGATAACAATGAAAACGGTAGAACGCATTGATAAAAGTAGCAGAAGAGAGGAAGAAATTGAGATATTTTGTTAAAAAAACACTTTTGAATAGTAAAAATTAAAAAAAAAATTATATTAAAATTTAAATTTATAAAAAATAAGAAATTAAAAAAAATAACTGCTCAGACAAAATAAATAAATGATAAAAACACTAAAATTTGCAATTTATTATGACAAAGTTAAACTAAATTTGACAGATTTTGTCAATGCAGAAAAATAAAAGAAAGCTAATTTATCAAGTCTGTCAAATGAACAGAGAAACAAACCTGAAGAAGAAACCTGAATTACCTGAAATTAGGTAAATGACAAACGCTGATTAGCGACAGAAGATTCGCGATATTTGATGAGTTCCTTGAACTTTTCTTATTACGCGATTGTCGTTAGAGAATATTTACAAGCTATCAGGTTTTTCTTTTCACTTTCCTAAAGAAAGGAAAGCAATTATCCATCCTGTACTTTTCCATCAATTAACTCTAAAAGACTTTTTTCTGCTTCTAACTTAAAAAAATTCAATATTTATTCAATGTAATATTTAAGAAAACTTATTACCACAGACATAGGCTTGGTTCAGATCCCGAAAAAGGCATGGACATTTGTGGATAAGATATTTCAATTAATTTATTTGAATAAATTAATTGAAATATCTTATACATAGAAATCCTTTCGTTTCACACTTGAAATGTTTGGAAGCTTTTCGTTTGAAATCAGCTCCTAAGATTCATATTTTTCAAGATTGTGTTATCAAGATAATTGTTTTCAATAAGTTATATACAACTGGATTTGTATAAGTGCCAACGTTTATGAAGAAGACTATAAATGCCTATTTTACATCATCTAAAAAATTAGATGCTGTAAAATTACTGCCGCCTTTCTAACACAATTTCCAGTCTATATTAGAAACAATCCAAAATATTTCATTACGTATTCTTTAATGATATGCATAAAAAGTTAATGATGATGGAATGCACGAGTGTTTAAAAATTATAAATAATACATAACTAAATGCATGCGTCAACAAAATGTCTCCAGTATATAAATGTAGACTATGATTAGGGAAATTAGAAAACTGTGTAGTATCAAAAATTATAATATCAGTTTGCAAGTGATTGATGCACAGCAGAAGACGTAAGAATGAAGAATTTCTTAAAATTAGAATGACATATATTATTTAAAATTTTAAAAGAAAATAAAATTGATTCGCAAGTCTTTGTGTTCGGAAAATTTCATGAAAAAGAAAAATAGTAAAAAATATTTAACATTTAATAAACACACTGTTGTGCAATAACATGGATCTTATAATAAGTAATTAATTTGACGTCAGAAGCATCTTTAGGCGAAGAATTTTTACACGCTTTCATTTCACAGGCAGTTAAGTTTTATCTGCCTGTGTATTTTCAAAAACATTCGTAATTAGTATTTACTGTTTATAATTCTCTATACTGTTAGTTCTTTATATTTTCTCGCATTTCACGTATAAAGAATAACAAGAAGGTTCAAAACAACAACACACTGAAAACATTTATAAAATTTAAAACATTTTAGTAAGAATACCAGTAATTACATGAATAGTTATTAATGAAAGACGCTTCTGATGTCATTTATTAAATATATACTACTAAATAATACTTAAAATTGAAAAATAAATAAGCAATTCTAATTATGTATAAAATTAATTAATATAAAATAATAAAAACCTGCTTGAAAAATAATTAATGAAGGAAATTAAAATCCATTTGTAAGTAAATAAAATCCATATACTGCTTATAATTTTAAGTAAAAATGATAAAATTCCAGAAATATTACAAAATTACAAAAATTTAAAAGGTAAGCTTATTATATTTTTACTGTAAATACTGTAGCTGCTATTGTATTTATTAAATTATAAGTCCTGTACTTGTTATTGTGTTGACGAATTTTTTTCTTAATTAAAGAATTTAAATTAAAATAAAAATTACGAGAATTATAATTTTCGAAGAAGGAAATTAGGATTAAAATACCATTTTAAATAACCCACTAACAGTAAATTGCTTTTTTTTGTCTAATATACACTGATCACATACACTGCATTCTACAAATTGAACAGTTTCATAATTCCTCGCAGAGCAGTTTAGAATTTTTTACAGTCTTTATTAAGATTTCTTTTAAAAATAGTATTAATGCAGAATACTAACGCAAGTTTCCGACCTTTTTTTAGCTTTTCAAGTGTTTAAATAGCAAGCAGTCATTATTGTGTGTTAAAATAACAAACGGAATACCTGCTGTAGCGGATGAACTTTCTCCAGCATTTGGAGCAGAGCTGGTTTCCACGGAAAATCCATAGGATGGCAAGTAGTGGGGAAAGAGAGGGAAGAGGGGTAGAGTTGGGTCCTTGAGGGACAGAGGGGTGCCACACCAAAGTCCCGAATAGTACGTTGGAAGTCCATCCGCAAGGAGAGGGAAGGATGGCCGAAGAGAAGCAGCAGTCAGTGTCGGTACTCCAACACCTGGGATGCCTGAAATGAGATTACAATTAAGCACTCTCTTTACTACTTCCTAAAAATCTAATTCTAAAAACATACAAAAGGTAATAAAAAATTATCTTTTAGAATTGTATGGACCGATGAGTTTCAATCCTTTGGTTCGAAGAAATTGCAAGTGGCTTTAAGCTAGACTTTCCATCGATGAAAATAGCGCAAATCAGAAGACGATGAAACAAGACGGACTTGACGTTTGTGAATAAATTAGAAGAAAATGAAATTAATACTAAAACTTAGCAAAATTAACCGTTGCAAGGTATGGTTTAGTGAATTTAAAATTCAATTAAATACAAAACAACTTCCATTTAAGAAAACCCTGGTGTTTCCTTCTGTATTTAATTTTTAAGTATGAGTAGTATTCTTTGAAAAAGACTGCTTTAGGAATTAAATTAAAAAGGAAATAGTTTCAGAAAACTAACAATATATATACTAATACTATTTTTACATTTGTTATAGACGATATTAACCGCAAAAAAAATTTGTAGCGTTTATGTAATGTGATATGCATTTTAAATGTATTTTATTCCTATGAAGTAAAATAAAATCCATTGCAGAATTTAAAGAAGTACAATTAAATTATTTTGAGGGATTGATTTTGTTACAATGATGAGCTATATAATTTTGAGTTTTGGTAAGCAAGCGAAAGATATCAGGCTTCATCAATTGGCATGATGCCCCTTATTTGCAACGCACAAAAACTGATAAGTAAAAACAACAACAGCTCCCTGAGGTCCTTAAAAAGAACAATACAGTGGAATTTTTTAATTGAATATGGATATCTTAAAAATGGATGAAAGAGAACCTCTAGCGAATTGGAATAAGCAATATTCAACTCCATACGGATACCTTTTTCCCGAAGTAAATACCTTTCTTTTATTCGTTTTTTTTCTGACTTGACTGCTTAACGTTTTGGCGTGAGAGTCAAATGGAAGGAAGACATTTTTACTTCTATGTTCACTTCGTATCAGAATTTCGGAATTTACCACTTAAATCATTTTTAGAAGGATAACGGTGAATTAAAAAAAAAAAAAAAAACTGGCGAATGACACAATTCCTTGTGCTTCAGGGAAGAAAATATATTCCTCATATTTTTTCAAAATATATCCTTTAAAGAAGCCAAATAAAAAAGAATTATGTTATTATAAATAAAGCAAGAGTTTGTAGTGCCAAGTATTTAAGAAATATAAACTAAAATTTAAAAAAGGTTTTAAATTCTGTTGGGAAAATTGGAAAAAATCATTAATGAATTCTGATACATGCAGAAGGCATCAGGAAAATACAATTCACTAACTGAAGAAGACATTGGATGCGTTTTTAATAGGAATAAGGTTAAAAGAATTGTATAAAGAATATTTCTCAGCGAAAATAACGGTTGTCCAGTGATTAATTTCTGATTTACGATATGCAATTCATGTTAATTAAATTCATATTCTTGTGAAAGTTTCTTTTTCTCTTAATTTGTCTTAACCGAATTCACAAAAAGTTTTACTAGGTTTTCATACCGAGAAAGGAATTTTCTAGAATCTACGAAGTACGAATTCTAGAAGTACGAGTATTTTTCAGTTGGAGAGCTCAAGATTCTATTGGTATTGTGTTAAGAATTACGCTATTCGATATACATCCAATGCTTCATCTCCGCCTATGCCCCAAGATACATGATCGAAACTGAACAAGAAAGTTTATTCCTGGTCACGTTGTCTGTGATAATAAAAAATTCTAATCCGTGCCGAGTGTATGATTTCTCGAGGCTTTCGACTGGTATATTTGACATCTGAGCATTTTATCCGACGTAGTATCTTTTTCTGATTCAACTTGGACAGCTTTTATATTTGGTCAGTGATTCTTGATGCGGAGCAACACTGGCATAAGTCTTTTCTTTACAAAACGTCTTTAATATGTACTTGATGCAAATTTCCTGTGATTTTCTGAAACTCAGCAAAACCCTGACTATTAAAAGTCAAAATATATATGATCAGGTGTAATTTGATTACTTTATCACTCCTGTTACAATCAGAAGAGTAAAAAGAGCTGTTTTCGCACCACCTTATGTTACATTAACACCCTCATCCAATTTATCAGTAAAGTGGCCTAACAAATAGCCTAGAAAATTTGTCTACTTACCTTTTATTTTGTATGCAACACAAATTATGTAATATTAACCAATAAACCTACCAGATTAATTTTTGATAGCTGCTGTCATTTTGCGTAGTATGAGATTTTAATCTGTTTTATAAATTACTAGCCACCTGCGCAGCCTCAAAGAGAGTGATTTTAATGAGTTCAGCTAGTGTGATTCACGGATCGACCTAGCGATTAACATTTAATGCTTTTAAATCGCTCAGTGCTAAATCGCTTGATTTCTATGTTATTGATTAACAATCAATAACATAGAGTTAAATTTGAAAGAAAATTAAATACCTTAAGCTTTGCTGAATAATTATACACTGGCGCATGGAAGACAAAATTATTTTATTTCCAGAAAGGGAATACATTATTTTAAAACCGCGGAATTTTCTGAATAAATTTGAAACTCAAGTATCTTATGTTTTGGCAACAAATTGATTTTAAAACACTAGTTTTTTTTATTAAAAACTCGTTGAATTTGCACAAAATAAAAAATTAATAAAAAAATAAACTCGAAAGCCAAAACTTGCATTTCAAGGTACATATGTTCAAGATGAGACAGTGCATGTTCAAAATTTGGTAATACTAGCTGCCGCTATTTTCCACAATGCGAGAAATTTCATACATACATGCATATAGATTATTCATCGTTTAATGATATAAAGATAGAGAGAGATATTAGAACATTATTTAGTAACATACCTGAACAATTTACTAAAAGCAATATACATCATTCTTACTAATTTTTAGCTCTATATAATTGTTTTCACTTTTAAAAAAGATTAGTTTAAAACAATGTCCTATCAATAATGCGTAGAAATGATAGTAACAACATATTTATAATTATCTTTCACAGTGTAAGACATCTAGATAGTAATTTGCAGGCACTTAAAAATCACTGTTATTACTCAACCGCACCTATTACTGATATTTATAAAGCATCTGCTAGTCATTTTCCGTTAATTAATACTGAATGCTTATTCTAAGACTATTGCTATGATTAAGAGGTTTTTACTACAACTATAATTTTATTGCAGTAACATTTAAAAATAAGTTTTTTTAATTGTCATTTAACTGCTAATTTTTATTTCTCGCGAATCATTTTGTATTACTTTCAGTTTCTTTCCTTAAAAAATTATCTATCAAGTAATTTAAAATAATTAAGTATAAATGTAATAAATAAGTAAAATTTATTACATTATTAATGTAATGTAATGTACATTACATTTACATTAATTAACATTACATTAATGAAAAATATCTAATAATTCAACTACGTATGTGTTTTTAAACTCTATCTGTCAACAATAGAAGATAAAGTATTTGTTCTCGGAGATAAAATGATTTAACTAGGTATTATTACGTCCAGAATTTTAATGCATCTCTTAAGGCTATTCTACCTCCAGTTTTGATCAAAACCACAACCACTGTAACGTCTGAACACCCGTGTTGGCTGAAAGAAAAGAACTGTTGCCTTTTAAATATTTATTTAAAAACTTGATAAAAAGTTCTGGATTAGTAATAAATAACTAATAAACCATTACAGCCAATATTCACACAATAACCGCTGGATGCAGGATTGTGTCTTCTTCTGAGGTCTTTTAACCACATAAAAAGCTGTCACAAAAGATCCTCTCTTTCGTTTTATTCGTCGCATTGTCGGAAAAATACCTGAAATGGGACAATTACTGTCCCTTATGTCGGGAAACCGCACCAGGGGATTTCCGCTACACCTTTCCTCAAAGTTCCCTGTCAATTAGTCTCTGAACAAAACAGGAAGTTCTTCTCATTAAGCACCTGTGTGTTCGAGGTGTGCATATGTTGTCATACCACCTTCGTTCAAGAAGGATAAAAATGTAAACCATCTTCTGCACTTTGCAAACACCGTGTACAGTTAAAGCATATCTAGTAGTAATTGTAATGTACATTACATTACATTAATAATGTAATAAATAAGTCATATTTATTACATTATTATAAATGTAATAAATAAGTAATAAATATAATTAAATAATTAAGTAATGTAAATAATTAATTCAAGTATGTAAAATAATTTTAAATAATTTCAAATTCATGATTTATTTCCTTCGTTAATTTACATCTTATCACTTTAGTTTTTACGAGTACCTAAAAATTTAATTTCCCTGATAATTTTAATGACATTAATTCACAAATATTAAAATAAGCGCTGCGCAATACTGCATGAAGATTATTAGAAGCTTTTAACATACAATAAAGTCTTCATTTACATAATAAAAAATAGGGTTTGTAAATACTATTTTTTGCGGCTATATTCTTAAATTTTTTTATAGATATTTACAATTTCTTTATAATTGTTTTTAAAGGACTGCAGAGTCATTAGGTTAATTTGAAGGAAGAGACATGAAAAATGAACAATGATGCCCTCGCTGGGACTCGAATCGGGACCACTCGAATATGCGCTGAGGGTGCTACCTTTACACCACGAGGGAATGCTGGAAGAAGGAATAAAACAAGGCAATTAATTACATTGTATAGCACAACATAAGTAGAGTAGGCTAGATATGCTTTAACTGTACACGGTGTTTGCAAAGTGCAGAAGATGGTTTACATTTTTATCCTTCTTGAACGAAGGTGGTATGACAACATATGCACACCTCGAACACACAGGTGCTTAATGAGAAGAACTTCCTGTTTTGTTCAGAGACTAATTGACAGGGAACTTTGAGGAAAGGTGTAGCGGAAATCCCCTGGTGCGGTTTCCCGACATAAGGGACAGTAATTGTCCCATTTCAGGTATTTTTCCGACAATGCGACGAATAAAACGAAAGAGAGGATCTTTTGTGACAGCTTTTTATGTGGTAAAAGACTCA